TGCGAAGATTAGCTCAAGATATTAGGAAAGAGTAGAGGCGCGTGTCCAACCAGTCTTAGGACTGACGACCTTATGATGATGATCGATTTTTTACAGGGATCCTTACAAGGAGCAAAGTCATCAACACCTAGCTACTCTGATACATTATACAATGAATGTTTTTCTGTACAAATTAATCAAATTATTAATAGTAATAACGAAAATACTTCGTGCGATTAGATATATTTCGGCCTGTGTCTCTTCGAACAAATTGAATTGCCATTGTAGTGGTTTTCTTTTATTGTGACACCATGAACACGTTTAACAATAGAAGGAGCTATAATGAGCTGGTGAGAAAATCCAGTTGCTGATACAAGTAGCTGTTAGCCATTACTAATAGACGTATTTCAGTAACATTTTCACATTAACACCCAGGCATTTCTGTAAGTATTACGTTTCACGAAAGAGCTAACAATATGTAAACAAATACCACAAGGCTAATGTTCTTCTGTTACCCCAGAACGTATTAGTTACGTTTCCACAAAATCAATTTTTTGATGTTAGTTTGTAACGTGGTGGAAATGCAATATCGTCTAGTTAACAGTTATGAACTGATTTCCTAAAGAGCAAAATATTCATCGATGTAAACAGTCAAGAATGTTGAAGAAACAACGAAATTATTTTGTCCTTAGTAACGCAATCAAAAGATTTTCATGAAAATAAATTCATTTTTATCAATGTACTTGCGGTTTTGACAAAAGAATATGGAATGAAAATAGATAATAAAGCAAAAATATTGGTATATTTGTAAGGAAAGTCAGAGTTGTTAATTTGGCCGCCTAGGAAATTTCCCTGTGCTTACGGGACTTGAAGTCAAGATAGGAAAAACGGTATGTAGGATACGAAATCTAAAGAATTCTTATATATTTGTACTACAGTTATTACGTAAGCAAAGACTTCAAAATAAACAAAAAGTAGATAGATACATTTAAAACTGAATAACAAATATTTTTTCTCTCACAAAATAAATATAATTTAGTTTCTAGTATATAAGATCATTATTTTGAATAGTCAAGTTATTTTATTTGAAATTTCTTAATAAAATGGAATATTTATATCACCTTTACTTCTTAAATACCTTTTTGGTAGTTATCCATGTATACCCCTACATTTTGGACATCTTTGCACCCCTAACGCGTTCCATATTCTCATTTACCTTTTTATTCTATTAAGAAAATTTAGGCAAAAACCAGGCGGATGAAAAAAATACCGTGAATAAAAAAATTAGAAATAAGGAAATATTGCAGAAAGTGTATTACAAGCAGAAACAGGAGCAAAGAGTGGCAGAGGATGGCCTAGATTAGATTACTGTTTACAAACAGTTTAGTATGTGAGATATTCTCCTAATCTTCTTCTATCTTCAGTTTTATTCTCATTTTTCATTATACCGAAGAAAAATAAATTCGAAATCGCATTGAAAATATTCATTTATGTGTCAACATTATATATTTTATGGCATGTTGATTTAGAAAAGAAATATAGATACTTATAAGGATGAAGGGAATATCTTTTTACCAATTTTTGGTAAGAAATGAAAACTGTATTGTCACTTTTCCAATATTATTTAATAGTTACTTTTTTTTACGTAATAATATTGGAATACATTTGTTGTATATACATTTTTTGTATCAGCAACACTTAATATGTACATCAAGAATAACAATTTTTTCAATTGTTTCATATTCTAATTTGCTCTTGATCATTCATTTACCGGTTTTAGTGAAAATTCATTGTAATTTTCTTTCCAGATTAAATCAATGTCATTTTCATTCTTCGTCGTATTTAGCATCTGAGGTTTAGTCGTTTGTGTAAAAAGCATTCTTGATTCAATTTAACAAAAACGATTACAGAAATTTAAAAATAATTAAGCCATTTCATAAAAATTACGTGTAATTCTGTAATTGACTTTGTTAACGCTTTATTTGGTTGTTACGGCCAAAGTTGAGCCTTGACGTGGATACAATCGAAATCAATATTAGTCCTACTCTTCCGCACCCTTCCGCCCATCGAGAAGTTCCTATTGAACAAGTTAATTTCTAATTTAATTTGTTAATTAAATCTGTAGCGCGGCCCGGTGGGGGCTAATCGGTTCAATTGTGTCTGGAATTACACATTTCAAGTTTCTCGGTCGATCAAACAGTGTCGTATATATATATATGTATATATGTGCGTGTGTGGATTTGGTAACAACCCTCCTCAACTGTCACTGACATTTATTTCATTACCACGTATTTACCCCCAGGCACATAATAAATGTATCTAATAGAATTCTACGGCAAACGTAATAATTTAACTGCTTTTAATGAATGTCGTTATTAAATTAACGATGAAGATTTCAAAAAAAAAAACGTAACACGTAACAAAAGGAAGTGTATTTTTTTAATAAATCAAAAAAATCAGAGTAGTTGAAAATTGGGATAGCTGTAAGGGATATTTTACATCGTAGTGATTGTAAATAGTATCTACAAACTTTTAGAGTCATCTTGGGCTAAATATTAAGCATAACTTTTAGGGTTTCGTACTAAAAATGCAAGATTTCAAAGTGGTTGAAAATTAGGATAACTGTCAGTGATATTCTACATTGTAGGGATTGTAAATAGTATCTCGAAACTTTTAGGGTTTCATCCTGGGCTTAACATTAAGCATGACCGTTGGAGTTTCGTACCAAAAATGAACTTTCAAAGTGGTTGAAAATTAGGATAACTGTCAGGGATACTCTACATTGTACTGATTGTAAGTAGTATCTACAAACTTTTAGGGTTTCATCTTGGACTAAATATTAAACATGACTTTTGTTTCGTACCAAAAATGAACTTTGACTGCAAGATTTCAAAGTGATTGAAAGTTAGGGTAACTGTCAGGGATATTCTACATCGTAGTAATTATAAATAGCATCTAAAAACTTTTAGGGTTTCATCTTGGACTAAATATTAAGCATGACTTTCAGGGTTTCGTACTAAAAATGAACTTTGAATGCAAGATTTTAAAGTGTTTGAAAGTTAGGGTAACTGTCAGGGATATTCTACATTGTAATGATTGTAAATAGTATCTAAATACTTTTAGGGTTTCATCTTGGGTTAAATATTAAGCAAGACTTTTACGGTTTCCTACCAAAATTCAGTTTTGATGACAAGATTTCAAAGTGGTTGGAAGTTGGGATAACTGTTAGGGACATTCTACATCATAGTGATTGTAAATAATGCCTACACAGTTTTAGGGTTTCATATTGGGCTAAATATTAAGCAAGACTTTTAGGATTGCCTACTAAAATTGTGCTTTGACGACAAGATTTCAAAGTGATTGAAAGTTGGGGTAACTGTCAGAGACATTATACATCATAGTGATTGTAAATAATGCCTACACACTTTTAGGGTTTCGTCTTGGGCTAAATATTAAGCAAGACTTTTAAGGTTTCCTACCAAAATTGAACATAGATGACGAGATTTCAAAGTGGTTGAAAGTAGGGACATTCTACATCATAGTGATAGGGTTTTCAGCTCTTTTAGGGTTTCATCTTGTCTAAGTATTAAGCATGACTTTTAAGTTTCCGTACCGAAAATGAACTTTGATGGTAAGATTTCGGTGTCCGTCCGTCTGAACGAATATCACATTTAATAATCTCAGCAATTACTAAAACTCAATAATTTTGACAAAACTTATCCTGATGGGTCCGTTTCTTCTAATAAACTTTATACATTGAATATTGCTTTTAGTTTCAATAAGTATGGTTATTATGTTTTACGTATGAATGACCTCCACCCTTATCTGTAGATATTTTAATATCGTCGGGTAATTTAGCAGCCACTTACCTAGAAGTGGATAATCAATCGCAGGCGATAAAATTGGAAAGCCGATGCAGCAATTATGGAATGAATATCCTTCCGCATCCCCTTTTCCTGGCGCCAACCTACTGATTTCCACGACAGCCAATAGAATGTTTCAGTTTCGACGACGCCCGAAAAATAACAGGAGTCTCAATTCAATTCACCCTAAGGGAGTGTTTACAGAAATTCAGGAAATATATTACTGTGTCGCCAGCTAATTATCTACCTTTTAGAGTCTCTTCATTTTTCTTGCCTTTATCACCTTGTAAACGTGCAATCAACGAAAGAAAAACGACAAGAAACTGTTTCGTTCTTCTGTAGTACTTTATTCTCACAATTGCGGACAATTCCACCTAGAAAGGTGATTTTTTTTTCTTTTGTTTGAACAAATAGCTAAGTAAAATAAAGACCAAAATTTCGATTTCACATTCAAGATAATACCTATATTATTCTATTTTCCCTTGTTATTTACTCAATGTAAAATCAAAGCCAAAAGGGGTTAAAGCTTCATCATCATCATAAGGTCGTCAGTCCTAAGATTGGTTGGACACGTACCTCCACTCTTTTTTTTTTCCCCTATAACTAGAACAGCCCACATCCTTAACTATTTGCGAACAGTAATCTAATCTAGGTCTACCTTACCCCTCCTAACTCTGTTTCTGCCTCTAATATGTCTCTGACTAGACCTTCATGCCTGAGAAGGTGTCCTACCAACCTATCTCGCCTATTTTTTATTGACTTCCATAGAGTCCTCTGTTCTCCTATTCTTTCCAATACCTCTTCATTTCTAACCTTTTCTACCCACGATATGCTCATCATCCGCCTATAAAACCACATTTAACTTTAAAAAAATAGTCTTGTGACAAAAAAAGAAGCATTTCTGAATATTTATATGTATGCTGGAGTATAAAAGTACAAGTTATACTGGGTGAGAGGTATATTTAGTGCACGCGTGTAACTAACTGCGTTCTTAAACCACTGACCTATTTTATGGCTAAGCGATTTTTAAATGAACATGGTGGGTACCAAAATAGGTACGTAAGAAGTGTGTGCGTGTATTTTATATGTGTGTGTAGTAGGTGGTCGTTATTATGTGGCTATTAGTAATGAAAATTTTTTAATGTCTTTTGTTTGCAGGTGTGGTTCCAAAACAGGCGAGCTAAGTGGAGGAAAACGGAGAAATGCTGGGGTCGGAGTACCATCATGGCCGAGTACGGTCTTTACGGAGCAATGGTGAGACATTCTCTGCCACTTCCGGAGACCATCCTCAAAAGTGCCAAAGAGAATGAGAGTGTCGCCCCCTGGCTGCTCGGTAAGAACTTAATTGGTGCTTAAACGGCATAATTTGGCAAATTGTACGCAAGCATTGTTGCGTCGCGAGAAGAATTTGTTCAGAAAAAAACGGGTGTCACAAAGGAGCACGTTAATAACCTCTCTTTTTTCCCTACGGACCTTTTGTATCCGTGGACGTGGTGGTAGTTGTCCCCACGCACGGCACGTCACACCAACTCGAAATTCTCTCAATTCTATTAGTGACTACAAAAGCCAGAAAATGAAATTGTTTAATTCGAGTGGCACCTGCACTGTTATAGTAACGCGAACCTCTTGTTGTACCACTGAGGGTGTTTGAAACTTTCAATCTGATAGTGTAACGTTAATCTCTCCTTAATTTTTAACTCTGAACAGAAACTCAGCTTTCTTAAGTTAATGCGTTCCATCGATTCATAGTGCCCATAATTTAAATTAGAGTTGGTGGAAAGTTCTGTCTTTTACATTTGTCCGCTTACATAATTCTTAAATTCTTGCAAACTTAGTCTTTAGTAAAAAATTTCATCTACTTTTGAATTAAGGACTATTCAACTCCAGATATTTTGCAAAATAGCTAGATTATTTGATATATATTATATATAATAACTGGATAGTATAAGTAATATCAAAATTAATTAGTTTGACTGTAACATAATACATATGCAGAATTAAGAGATTGGAAAATTAATGATCCAATTTCTTCGATAAAATTTATATCGCTATCATCATTCAGAAAAGATTTTTGGTACTTAATTGACATGGTTTTGTAAACATTATACTACTAAATTACAAGGACCTACAAAACCTAAAGTATATTAAAGGGAAGGAATCATTTGTAATCCTTATTATTGAGGGTAATAAAAACTCGCTATCAGATGTATTGATGGTTAGAATAAACTATTTATCATTAGGCAGTAGAAACTCAACTTTTTTGGGAATCGTAAGTGTGTCTTCTGCAGGGATTTTCTCTTTTTTTTTTGTTTCAATACAACGCATTATAAAGGAATTTCTTCAACTCTCAATGGGATTATGGGGATGTGCGGATCCGCTCACTGATTGCTACGTCACTGAGGCTACGTTAAGCTACTTATTTTGTTAGTTATTTTTATACCATCACTTAAATTGAAATGCTACTGACTTCTTCGTTTTAAAAACTAATAATTAATTTTTAAATACTGGTCATTTATATTTAAATGCTGACCTTTCGTATTTATACATATACTATATACTGACTACCAAACGATACAGATTAGTAACCACATAGACTTAAATATCAAGCCTACGGACTTATACACTATTCCTTCATAATATTTAAACATTGAACACAAAGAATTAAAACACTGACTATTAAAATAGAAGCCTGAATTATATAAATTATAATCAATATTGTTTTTCAACGATTTCAAATTGAATTAAATATAAGTAGTACCTCTAACTATCCGTTTCTAAAAACCTGGTAAAATGGTTTACGAGAAGGATGCAACTTCTAAAGGGTTTACGCGGTCTACACTATTAGTCTAATAGTGTGTCAACATTCTTGCAGGACCTATCATTAATAAGAAATATTTAAGGAAATTTTCTTCCGTTTAGATTTTCCGTACATTTGTTTTGGAAATTGTGTAAGCAACTAGTTAAAAAAAATTGCATTTAGTGTAAAATGTAGATAAGTAGTATGTACTCAAAATTAAAAAGGAAGAAAGTTTAGTATCCACGTTTCTTCATTTTCTCTATCATACCATAACTTTGATGAAATTTATATACCTAACTTTCGCTACTTATTTGTAATAGTGATACAACGGAAACGTTATAATGGAAACAGAACCAGAAACGAAAACGAATAGTAAATTTTTGCGGAAGCGGATGCGGAAGTGTTTGTTTTTGGCTTCAAAATCGCACTCTCAACTTACAACTTACAACACTAAGCAAACACTATACAAAATAAATAAATATTACAACTGCGTTGGTTGGTTTAGCTCAGAGCCGGGAAAACTTTAACTTCGCAGGAGCCGCTACATGAGGTTAGTTTGAGTCACTCCATACCCTTCAATGAGTACGAGAGAGTAAGCAGTAATGAATAATTTTGTATTGTCTTTTTCTTCTCCCTTCCACTCCCATATCAAGCCCCTTCATCCCGTAGACGAGCGAAGCCACTCACGCAACTTAAAAAATACCTACGAAAATTTTCGTTACTACGTTCGCAAAACTATTGGGTTTGGCTATGGAAGAGGGGACTCATCTACGAAATGGAAGGGATAAGAAAAGGAAAGAATCATCTCACTCGCACTCGCAGGATCAATGAAGATCCACTTGGTTAACCTTGAGGATCACTCGGGATGCAAAAGATCCGAGTTTGCCCGGCTCTGGTTTAGCTCCTAAACTATAATAAAATTATTTGCACAGAGATAATATCGTTATTGAAAGCTGGTATAAACTTGTCCAGCATGCAACGTTGCAACGCGCTATTGTGTTTTGAAATCAGTCAAGTTTAAACAACAGATAAAAGTAAAAAGCATTTTACGACTTGTTTTATTGTTCTGATATATTGATTTTAAGTAAGAAAGATGAGAAATAAGATTTTGTAAAGTTCCGGTAAGCTTCTGTTTATAAATACGGAACCAGATGCAGAAGTGCATGTGATAAAGTATGCAGAACTTCCGTAATTACGGAAGCAGAAGCAGAGGTCTGTTGGAACAGTAGTTTGTAGTAGTGAAAAGTTTTTCTTTCTGTGTTTGTGGAACTAAAGTACTAATTTGTTTTAAAAAACCTCATAAAGTGTAAAACGTTTTAAAAGAGAGGTACACTTGTGGTACCTATTATGAAGATTCGCTGGCGACGCCACTGACTTTTGAAAGCCCGTGCTTGGGATTAAAGGCCCCGGTTTAGTCGTGCAATTTAAAATTGAGTATCGGAACAGAGTAAAAGAATGAATCGTTTGTCGAGTACCGCATTAAATTTGCAATTTCTGGCATCTTCATTCCCTCGAAATCCTTTTAATCACCACTCTATCGCTCCAAAGCGGAACCATCTTGATGGATATCGTGCCGGCGCAGTTAATGTTACTCGACGCCGTTTGATGTCGCCAGCAGTTGGCGTCTGCCAGGACTTGCGATAGTCGTCATCGTCGACGAGCAACATTATTATTATCTCCTGCTGATGGTCGCGTCCTGGCCGATTGATAGTAATAGTCTTTAAGCACACAGCAACACCATGTTACAAAGCTGCTTTGTTCGACAAACGAAAAAAACGCACTAATCCGTTTCCGTAAGTCATAAAATGGGCACTCGAGTGTCGAGCGTCGTCGGGGGAACGAACGGGTTCTATCTTTTAAATCCTTTGAAAAAGTTTTACGAGAAAGCGCCCAACAAATTCCGTTTCTACCCTCATTAAATACACATATATCTTTACATTTCTCATTTCTTGAATTAATAACAATTAGAGCGTCCTCACTGGTTCCAATTTACAAAAATAAAAACGAGGGTTAAACTTTCTTGCTAGGATTACAATTACTCATATCGAGGTTACGACAAAACACTCATATTTATTTTTCGTAATGGACACAGAAAATTTCATAGGTATCGTTCTTTAATGTGTCTGCAGTTGAAAATTAGTGATCAGCAAAAGAAGACAAAGGTCAAGTCTGTTCCAGTCTTGGGATTGGTCTTGGTCGTGCTTATTCGGCCTTGATCTTGGTCTTGCTCAAATACTTCTAGTCTTGGTTTTGATCTGCGTATTAAGTCTTGATCTCGCTCATTTATCTAATCTTATACTTACGTTTTTTTAATGATTCTTCTAAGCACAAATTTTTAATTTACTGACACAATAATTGTCTAAAATGCTGGAATTTTATGTCATACATGCGAGATCGTCATGACTTTTAAAAGAAATAGTATCGATAGTTGTGATAGTTATCAAAACTAGACTTACTTACCCTTTCTCCAATGTATAAATTGACCTTTCCTCTAACGCATAATTGACCTTTTTGGCGAACAAAATAGTATAACGTACTCTTAAAAGAAGAAAAAAAATCGAAGAAAAAAATAGTTTGTCTATATTTCAACCTTGTTTTCCCCAGACATAGGAACCAAGAACACTTATTCCGACGACATTCTTGTAGATCCCTTGTTTGAAACAGTGGTAGTTTATGTTTATATACTTAGTATTAAAATTAAAGCAAATTGAAAATTTCAAATACTAAAAATGTTTTACTCTACGAATAGAATACATTAAAAGTTGCTTGTTGCTCCAAATAGTTTAACTCATAAATCCACCGGAATTAAGTAATACCTTTTCGTTTAGTCTTGGGTATTTGATCTTGGTCTTGTATATTCGTTCTTGGTTTTGTTCGTTTGGTCTTGATTTTAGTATTGGTCACTTTCGTTTGGTTTTAGTCTTGGTTTTGCTAGTATAAATAATGTCTTGGTCTTTCCAGATCAATTTTGCTCATCAATAATCAACACTTCAAAGTCAGTGGCGGTTTTTCATTTGTTCAATGACTATCTAATTTTGATGTAATATACAAATGAAGTTTTTCGTCAATAAAATGCTACCATAGGTGCAATTATACTGTTTAGCATTTTTTATTCCGCGAAGTTTCATACACACTCTAAAATCATTAACTCTAAAGCGATTTCAAATTATTAATAAAGGAAAAATGAAATAGAAGTACACGAACAGCCTTAATTAAAATTAAATTTAATACAAACAACAAAGACATTAATCGATACTACAAAGAATCTAGTACGAAATCTCCACAGATGGCGACATGCTATATCTTTGTAATTATTTGGTCATTTTGCTGACATAAAGCATAACTCTATATTGCACGCAGANTGGTAATTGCATATTATTATAGAATAGTAAAATAATATCTTTTATTTCTCTCCATTTAACGACCACTCTTTATAACGCCGAAAATTGTTCAGTCCCTTAAGTGTCGTTATATAGAATTTACACTGTATTTCTAATAAATGTATGACTTCAAAGCATATCTTCTAAATCAAAAAATATTTTTACATATTTATGTTTTTAAAGTGAGTACAAAAAATTTTATAAATACATTTGTTTGAGGTGTATCAATAATGAAAATTATACAACGGAATTGTTCCGAACTTTATATTGTCTAAACTCCAAATTACTGTACGAGTTCGATGCTCCAATTTGGATTCCACAGCAGATATCCTTTCGGTGTACATTCATTTCAAAGATGAACATTATTTAAGTGCCGAATTATGTGTGGTATGGATATTAGCAATTAAAACAAAAACATATAAACTAAAGAAAATTTTATTAAATGCTACTTATCAACTCGGTTTTTTTCTAGTCACTAACGATTTAACTTTGTATTTCATTTGCTTAGTAATATAGGTACCTATAAAATGTGAATTTATGTAGATATTGGAAAATGTGACATATGCACATTAGTATACGTAGATGTGTTTATACACATGTATGTATATTAGAACGAATAAAGTGTAAAATCGATCACTTGAAAACCATCATCAACTTTTCACTCGTTAAAGTTGGATATGAGTGAAGAATCCTCGAACGACTTTTGATTAAAAGTGGTGATTTCGCGTTAATTGGAACGCCTGTCCTGCATGAAATCATCAGAGGGCGTCTTCAAATGTTAAATATCAGAAAAGGGTTAGAAAATGAGCTTAAATCTCATTATCGATAGCTAAGAATAACTGTTATATATAGATAATATTAGTGAAATGATTAATTGCTTAAAACTAGTTATTTTGCCCTTACATCATATCTCATCAATACCGGTTAACCCCTTCCAGGCCTCTTCTAAATAATTGACACCTTAATGCACCCCTTTTATAAAAAGAATTTCAATTTCTTTAACATTTAGATTCATTTTGATACCTATTAGAATGCAGAAACAAAATGAAAAGATTCTGCAATTAATATGGGGATTGGAAGAAGTGTTTGCGTAAGTTGCAGTTAAATATACCGTAAATTAGAAGTCTGAGCATTCTATTTTAAAAAAGTGTGCGGAACGACTCGCCTCTCGACTCAATACGTGTGTCATATAAGAGTACCTACATGATGTTTTCGTTAAATTTTTGCCCAAAAAGGAGATGAATATGTCTTACATATGTGCAAAAAACTCGAAAAAGTTTAACGTGGAGCTGTCTATATGCCATTTTATAATCAATATCATTTAATAGAATTGTAGGGCGTACTTATTAGAAAGAGTAGGAGAACAGAGGGTTAGTTAAAGACATTAGAAGCTTAACCAGGATTTGAGAGAAACAGGGGTCAACCTAGATTTGTCTGCCCTGGTTTTCAAGAAATTTGAAGATTGACTTAAGATAGAAAGTGCGTGTCAAACTAGTCTTTAGGCTGAAGGCCTTCTGATGATCGTAGATAAAAATCGTCAATAATCTATAGACATATATGTATACTTCCAAATTAAAACTGATATTTATTATAGAATAGAGAATATCACTTTGTAATTCAGTAAAAAATAATTAAATGATTAATTACTTATCAGTATATGCAGATTTGATCATTAAATGATTTGTCTGACAAAAACAGCAAAATTTAAGTAGTTTCAACTAAAATTTTTAAAAAGATCGCTACACAAAGTAAGTAATTGTTATGCTCAATCTAAATTGAGCGGTTTAGCTCATTTTTAGCAATTGGCATAATCAGAAAAGTTATGTGAGCTAGAAATAAATTAAATATTTTCATAACCCATCAGTCATCAGTTTTTAAAGAAATATAACGTATTCTGGTGCCATTATCCCTATTACAAGTAAGTACATTACAAACGACAGAAATTATTGCTTGTTTACCATTTTCCGACTATAAATTTAATTGTGTTAGTAAGTATTAAAGATGACACGGTATGAATGAGTATAATAAATAGTAAAAGCTTCCTAAGTGGTTGTGGGACTCGTTGTTTTACTCGTTGACATATAAAGGTTGATGCTATTTTTGAAATACATACGTTTATTTTTAGCTCAAAACGACAAGTCCTACAATCCAAAGGGGGCATTTGAAGATAGAGAACGTGAAAATGGCGAAGCGCAGATATAACGTCTTTTCTTACCGTATCGGCCTTTAACATCCAAAAGTAAGAGAATAATTACAGAGGTGAGTGGATGATGGGGGTACAGTGGAAAATATAAGAGCACACCTTTTTCGACAGTTTCCGTTATTGCCTTTGCATTTTTAAACCGTCTTCCTTTGAAAAATACAAACAGATATAGGAATACTATTTCGATGACGCTTGTGTTCCCCTTTCATCTACTTAAACCTCCTTAGGAGTTAGACAGTAATTTTAATCATCAAAACGTAGTATTTACTTCCGTTGTAGGCGAAAATATCTCTATATTTAGCCTGCTTTAAATTAATAAAATAAATAATTAAGAAAATGTGTTTTCTACCCTTTTTTCACAACACTTAAGGAAAAGGAGTGAAAAGCAAAAATACCACAAGAAATAATTAATTTTCATGCGTTATACTAATAAGCAGTTCAAATAATAAAAAAAATAAGTAAGTTGCAGTAGTTGTTCGGAATTCTATTCAGGTAAAAATCAGTTTATTATCGATCAATCAACGTTTCGCCCTTCGATTAGACACTTCTTCAAGGTAATCGATTTATTAATACACATGAGCACTTACGATTAACCTTCTTATCAGATAATTTCATTATATAAAACATGCTATATCACCATTTAGATTTATATGACGTAATATGACGATTTTAATTTTAAATATAATTATTGTACTTTACTGTCTTACAAATTTAGTTCCAAAAGCCTCCACGTGTATTAGCAAATCAATTACCTTGAAGAAGTCTTAAAAGGAAAGGCCAAACGTTGGATGATTGATAATGAAGACTGATTTTTATCTCAATCGAATTCTGATAAATTATTTCATCGATAAGCATCAGGGAAAAAAGAGGAAATTAAATAAACCAGTTGCTATTTGTAGAATTATATAACACCTTATCCTATAAATAAAACCAGGGCTCGGCTAAATACCTACATGGAATCTTTATAATGCTACAGATTTCTCAATAAAATTTGGACATTGCCCACACAAAAAAAAAACAAAACAATATAATAAAATAGATAGCAGTAAAATATTTTTTTCCAGGATTCTTCATCACTTCTCTGCCCAAATGTTTAGAATTCAAAAGGTCTCTTTATTAAAAATGTCTGTAAGTAAAATTAAAATTGTGTCCTTTAGGAGGTCCTTTTTAAAGAAAAGGAGGGCTTGAGATTTTAATAATCCTTACTCATACAGAATTATTCTAACACATGTCAAACAAGATTTTCTCTTCATAGAACATTTTTTATCTCAATTAGCTACTTCATAATAGAGTATTATTTCTCAACCTGGGGTAGTAGGTTATCAAAAAGCATTACTAATCTTCTAATAACTGTTAATTTTAATTATAGTTAGCATCGATCTACGGGATTATAGAATAGCCAAACATATATAGATATTAATTGGAATGCTTGTTTTTCAGTTAGAGGTTTTTCGGTTGGTGGGTTGACGTTAGAAACCTATACAACTAAATTAGCTTCAGGTGACGGTAAAAAATGAGTTATGTATTTAGTCCATAATAAGACCATGGATGAAATGCCTTGAAAAATGGACATTTTAATAATGTACAAAATTGATTGCGTATCGCGCTTACCGTGAAGCACAAACAATCTCTACGTGCTTCTTTATTCAAAAACAAGTTTGCCAACATTTAAATTACATAATTAATCTCTAAATCTACATATTTATTACTATTAGTTATCAAGAAGGAGGTCGTGAGACGGTTGAATTAATTTTTGACCGAAGAAATGATTATAAGGAGGCAATGGAAATTCGGGAAAATTGCCAATGAATAAGCGGTTTTTCATTATTTCCAGGTATGCACCGGAAGTCGATCGAAGCGGCACACCATCTGAAGGAGCAGGAGAGTTGTAACAACAGCAACAGCAGCGATCACGAGGAAACGACCTCGATGCACACGGAGGCAAGCGACACGAGTGCCTCCAGCGGTGCTCCGTCTCAACAACCGACTCTGAACTCGATCGGTGGTGGCGCCACAAGCTCGTCACGTTCCCCACAACATGACTCGCACCAGGTAAGGCAACAGCAACAACAACCTTCGACGACGACTACGACGCAACAACAACAACAACAACCACCACAACATCCTCCTCCGCCACCGTACAACGACGATCCCGAAACGTTTCGGAACAATTCGATCGCATGCCTCAGGGCTAAAGCCCAAGAACATAACGCGAAAATTTTGGGCAATCACGGTTCTCTGCTTCAGTTGCGGGCGTTGTCCACGATGGCAGAGCAATCAAACGCGCCTTCTTCGGTTAGTTGTGACGCGAACGCTAACAGTCTTCACCATCACCAGGAGGTGAGGACGTCTTCGACTGGGGCGTCCGATCCTGGTGCGGGTGGCGGAATTTTTTGACAAAGCAGACCCAACTGATGCTCGTAATGACCGATCAGGTTTCGTTGCTTTACTTAACACACTCTCTTTTAAGTTCCTAAAGGTTTTCTTTGAAAATTTTCTATGTTTACGTATGTACGTACAAGGTGGCCTACGAAGCGCTCAAATAATTTTCCTCGCTTTTCTGTAACTAAAGGTAGTTGTGCAGGTAGCAATTATTGATAATTAAAAAAAAAAGATGACAGGTGGTTTTATACCTAACAAACGAACTAACAGCTGCTCAGAAAAAAAGTTTACCTAATGCATTAATTTCATCATCCATCGACGTTTTATTCAACAAACGTGTCGCACATTATCTACAAATGGTGACACGTTAGTCAGAGTTACAAAATTTGACCTTTTATGACTCACTAAACCTTTTAATCACTAAAAATATGTAATCATGAAATACAACGGTTTTATGATTCGGAAAGTGTTATAAAAACAAATATAAGTATCTACTATTAAAACAAGTACCTATTCTTATACAAATAATACAGGATGATTCAAAAAGGACTTTGCAACCTTAAAATACTGTCGTAAATTTGCACGATTTCAAATCCAAATGTGTTTTCAACAACGCCAAATAGTCGTCTATTGGACGTGCAGTTCGCGAGAAGGGCTGTTAACAATATTTTGTCTCACTTGTTTAAAGACTTCATCAGATATCCTTGGACGACCTGATAATTTCTTATGTCTTACCGTGCACCCTGTTTCTACAAAACATTTATCCCACGCATATTTGATACGGATCCATCGAAGGCAGGCATCTGCGATTATGCGAGTCAAAACTTATCCCTACAACTAACTCGGTAGGTTCTCTGAATAAATTTATATGACTTTTGAAAAGTGTAAAGTCCTTTTTGAATCGCCTTGTATATAAATTCATACTTGATACTCGTCATCGCCTGTTGTTCCACACTAGGGACTTCTACGCAGGATACGAACACTCCCTTGCAGTGGAGATATTCCTGAAAACTTGAATACTTGCAAGAATCAGATTCGACAAGTTTATGACTTATCTTGACGTGTATATTGGCGATAGACGAGGTACAATTGTTTAAAATCTTAAAAAAACAGTATCAATTTGTTTGTGATATTTAGTTTTTTACTCCTCCTCGCAAATGAGGATAATTCATAGCGAAAAGCGTATCACTTTGATCCATTTCAGAAAGGTTATGATATGTTTTTCATAATTACCGTATATATTGAAAATTATCTGGTCCAATGGATATTTTACTTCTTCCATTAACTAATTATTTCCAGATAAGAAGTGAAACGAAAACACCAAAATGAAAATTTGCATTTCTAAATATTTTATTTCTATTATAATCATTCTTTTGACTGTTTTTCAACATGAAAATTTTAGATAATTTGAACTTCAAAAGGTAAGTTGTAATGCTCTATCCGTTGCTGAAATCTAACAAGGTAAGATATTTTTTTGAATCTTTATTAATTAAACTAATTTTGAAGGGCAGCTGTTTATTTTGTAATTAAATTACATTATTAAACATCGATAAATGTATCTGATGTACTTAAAAACGAAATACATAGGTAGATAAAAATGCACTTGCAACACCAAACATAACGTGTACTATGTACTTAATTTACTTAAATATGTTTTGGGTTTTATAGTTTTTAAAAAACAGTTATAAACAGATAAGTTTTTCACGCTTACACAAAGTCTACTGACTCGCCTTTGCATTGGAGCATAACTTAACTGATTCGTTTTTACTTTGCTGGATTCAGTTAAAAATAACCGTTACCGCTACTACAATAAAGTAAATTACTCGATTAAACAATTGGAAAAAGAAAGGTTTTTTAGAGTAAGTGTATAGCCAATTTACTGAAACTGGTTAGTGTAGAATGATGATCTACAAATTCAAATATTATTGTAATCCAGCAGAACAAAAACGGCTAAAATGAAAGTATCCATCCTTATAAGTATGTGTAGTATTTTTAGTGTAAGCACTGAAAGTAGACCGTGTAGAGCTATAATCTACAAATTTAAAAGATCTTTCAATTGAAAAATTGATACGTTTTTGATTAAGGAAAAAAGGAGAAAATGTATTTTCTGCCATTTTTTCCGAAGATTTTAGGAATAAACTTACCTAAAAAATACAAACACTTAGAAGATACATCACCAAAAACTACGAAAAATTAAAAAATTTATGCAGAAACAATTTTGAATTATCAAATTTAAAATATAAAGTTTTATGACATATTATTGTTAAATCAACGTGATCTAAATTTGTCCAAACGTTTCTAGTCGAAGCATAACTGTACTGATCAAATTAAAATGCAAAAAATAAAATACAAAATGCCTATTTCTATTTTGCAATTGAATACTTTTTTTGAGAGAAGCATTTTGTACTATTTATGATACTTTTTCAGACGTACTTTCTAATTGCAAAATGCAAAACGCTTTTTTGGCGTTATGTTTTGCTATTCTCATCAATCAAATGTTACCCATATAAAATTGCTCACATTGCTTTTAAAATTCTAAATGATTCGGAACTTTTTGAAAACGGAAAATTGGAAACATCTATTCCGGGTAATTGTACCGTGGTCCATAGAATTTCGCAGTTCCAAATGTCTGATACCAGTTACAACTTGCAACAGTACTTGCCAAGTTACAACTGAAGAAACCGTTATCAACGAACGGCGAAACGTCCATGGACCACGGCAAAACAATATCGAATCAATGTACGCTGGCCGTGAAAACCCGAAAACTACAATGCTGTGCTGTGTTGATAGATACATTTGAAAAGTGAAAAAACTGTTTTAAAAATTAACTTATTAGATGAGCCTAAAGCTAAAGAAACTAAGAATTCCATTTCTTCCCCTTATCCAAATGTTTGGTTCTGATTTTTTGCGCCAAAGAAACTAATTTGGCATCAGTGTAATTTCGTTAAAGTTAAATCTGGTGCCAAAGGTAAATAAGGGAACATATGCATGATTTGTTTGCTTCTGAACTGAGTACTCTAAATAAGTATTTATTTAAAAAAATATTTCGGAAATATGTTTTTCCCTTTAAAATACAAATTTTGTATTTTGCATTTCAAATAGCAAATCAAAAAACTATTTGCATTTTGTATTTAAATACTTTTAATAAACCATTTTGCACATCTCTAGCTATTATATAAAGTAATACCAAAGGAACTCGTTTCTGCCCACCATAAACGTTTTAAAAAAGGGGACTATTATCTACGGGATATGTAATGTCAATGAGACTAGCTCTTCGACAGTCCTGAAGCAGGGAGTACTTGAATCATCTCAGAGTTATATCTCCAGTTTTTAATAGAATCATTATCGTATCAATAAACTTTCTTTCCTTAAACGTTGAACAATTGAAATGGCCCAATTTATGGGAACAAATTAAGAA